CTCATGAAAGTGACAGTCAGAAGATGAAGGCATGGGCTCCATATCATGGTCTCTCCTGGAGGCCATGTGTCAGGCAACTGAAAAGCTTCAAGAAACTTATCTGAAGTCATGAAGGAGAAAGCTCAATGATGACAAATAGTGATGACAGGTACTGATGACAATTCATAATATAATTACCCAGGATATTATGCAGATAAACACAGGAAATAAGACAGCCAGCTGCTGTCCGAAAACCAGTGTAATTGGTAAAAGAATATTTTTCACCATAAATAGAAATTTGAGGATATAAATTATTAAACTAGTTAAATATATTTAGTGAATATTATTATATTAATGAAAACTATGGAAATAAAAAAGGAAATTCTCAAGATTCAAGACTAAAAATAAAAAAAATGTTCTATGGTGAATGGGTACACCATTTACCCATTCACCTTTTCTTATTATTTTGTTTGGAATTTACAAAATAACCTCAAAAGCATTAGTTTAAGTATTTAGCCATAAAAGCTAACATTGCAAAAGGAATGTTTTTTTTCCCTATTATAAGAAATCTGATGTGAAATTTCCCTGACATCACTTGAATTTTACTTCCCTCCTTTAAAGTAATCCTAATACACTTTTAACAATTATTTTAACATTTCATTTAAAAGACAAAAGGACAGATGCTGTTTTATGGGATCCCTTGCATGAGTAATCTTTAACATAAATGAGGTTAAATATTGTTAGAATATTTTTAATTTTTGCTGAGAAAAACATATTTATTTTCAGAGACAAAGTTAAGAAAATTATGCAGAGCCACCCAGAGATGCTGCGCAAACGTAACTGCTAATTTTAGTGAGAATTTGAAATATCCTATAGGAAGGTGACAAGTTCTTATCTTACTGAATGATTTTTTAAATACATCAATTCTCACTTATGATACTTTAGCTTAAAAATCTTTTACTGGAGTGAGCTAAGAGTCACATTATTCACGAGCCTAACAGAGATCAGAATCCCATGTAACCAGATTTGCTGCAATTCAGGCAACAACACACAGCCCATGCTGCTTCACATGCTTATTCACCCTGAGTAGTCCTAGATCAAAGTTTTACCAAGTATTAAGAAACTATGAAACCCCTATACATGCCTTTTTTTATATTTGATATTTCAAACTGAAGCGGTAATAAACACTAGATAATTATAGACAAGATTTCTGGAAGCAAAATTTTAATATAAAGCATTAAAATATTAATAGTAGTCCCTCTTCATCAGGGGTGCTTCCTACCTCCTGCACTTCCAAGTCCTGAAATAAATAACATCTCAGGCATGGTTTTCTTTTGCTTGGTACCTGCAGCACTCACAACTGTACTGATAAGGGTTTGCTTGCTTTATTGAAGCATATTTACCCCAAGAACTCTAGTTCGACCTGAAAGACATTCACTACAATGGATTTAAATTAACTTTTGTGAATTTATCTCATCTTACAGGACCATAATGTATGGCTGACAGTCACATCAGTGTGCTTGAGGCTTGCTCAAGGTGCTCACCATTAATTACCTCTCTGCCTTACTCCAAAAATGCTGCCACTATTTTTTTGGGGAGAAGCTTGGAAGTGATTTCTTCAGGTGACTAACAATAACTCACTCCAGCAGTGAAAGTGCCAGGTCAGGCACTGGCAGGCAGCTGGTGGATCTGGGTAAAAAGTCACACATGGCACCAGCTGCCTCTGCTATATCTGACTCATGAATAAAAGGCTTGTTTTCTATTCTGACTTTCAATTAAATTTTGGTAAACACAGACATTCACCAAAATGTTTAGAACAATTTATCTGACTCCTGAATGAATGGTTGTGTTTCCTGGAACAAAGTCAAAGCCTGAAGCTCTATTCAGAGAAAATTTCAAATAATCAATGAACGGCAGAAATTTCTGTCTCTGTTTCTGACCTTTGCAGTGTCAGCAGTTCAGATTTTCAATGTTAGAAAAACAGCATGCAAGGTACTGCAAGACTGCAAGATAGTTTGGGTTTTTTTCAACTCCCTTTTTTCATAAGGATCAGAATCGAGGGGAGGGAATGCTTCCATCAAGGGCATCACAACCTGGAATTCATCGGACACAAAACCTGATCTTAAAATGCTTTTCCACCCTTAAGAGTCTGCTTTCTGGAGCAGCTGAGCTCCCACACCTTCACACTGCAGTTTGAAGGAATATGGATGCTGCCCTCATCATTTTCAATGGAGATGGCCAGTGCTGGCAGCTGTTGATGAAGATGCCAAGATGGCCTGGAAAGGCTCCCAATTGCCCACACCACCTTCCAGGAGACAGGAAGCCAAGAACATCATGGTTGATAAAAGCATAATTAGCCGCTAAGACCCACTTTCCAGATACATATATTTTGCTTGCAAACCCATCTCTTCTGGTAAAACAGGAAAGTAATATATAAAGCTTCTCCAGTCCATTTTGTAAGTCCATAACTGCTATCACAACATAAAGTAGTCCAGCAAAGAGCTCAATGTCATGGATCAATTAGCAGTTATGTGTTTTCCTGGCTGATGGAAGAAGAAAAGTAAAAGGTCATATCCTCCCCCTGCTTTCATGTATCTGCTTGTGGTCAGGCACACCTCATCCCCAACAACTTAGGTTAAATATTGTGATCAATGTTGAAACTATTTAATATGCTAAATCTAAATTTATCCTTAAATAGTCCCCTGTAAAAAAAAGTAATGTTTCATGATGAGATTTGCATTTTAAAGAATATTAGGGAAGAACTGCAAAAGTTATGAGACCTGCCATGAGGCCACCCATCAGTCTTGTGCTAAAATGGCATATTGGTTCAGTCTCAGAGGTAAAACCAGCTGCTTACTTTCTACACTGTTAGATCTGACAATTGATTTTGCAGATTTCTGAAGCTATGACTCCAAAATCCCCAATACCTGAATTTTAAGAAATACGCCAGCTGATTTTCTTGCACTACTGAGGAAAATATTAGAATGCAGGCATGCAATATATGATGTGGTTGGATAGCTAAAGTGTTAAAAATGCTGAACATTCAGAATGAGCAGCTTTTGAGACAATTTCAATGGCAAGTGACCTATGTCTTACTGTCACTGTCTTTGAGCAGTGCAAGTGACTGACAAAGTCTGCCAAGGAAGGATGGAAAACAGGTTCCAAAAATGTTTCCAGGATTCTAACACTGACTTACCAACAGAGAAAATCAAAATGAAAATGCAAAAATAGTTTTTATTAAGGATACTAATGGTGCCTCAGATCAACAAACTGCCTTTTGAACAAAATGATTACTGACCTCAGTCAGACACTTTTTATTTCTTTTTCATTATAGCTTTTGTACTGATCTATGTATGCACAGATATCTGCATATGCATATAAATAATTAACTTAAAGAACATACCAATGCCTATGAAAATGCAAGGTAATTTCTATTAGTTTTTAAACCAAGACAATATGAATTGGATCTATTTGTTTCAGTTCTGCTTGAAGTAAAATTTCACTGGCTATATAGATCATGTCTTAAGCTGCACAGTCAGTACTGAAATAATACCAGAGTCAGTCGTAACAGATGCCAATCACTGCACTTCAAATGAGAAGGCACTCAAAGTAAAGTACAGGCTCTACCACTCACTTTTAACATTTCCAAAAAAGAAAATGTAATACTGTTATAAAGTTGTAGTAAAAACCCCCACCAATCAGTAATTTCCTCAACCCTCTTGTCCCATTCAGAGATGATGAAGCAGAAGTCCATGCACACACAACATGCAAAACCTTCCAGCTCTGCACACCAGGAAGTCAAGACCCACTTAGCCAACATAAGAAACCCTTCACAGTTTATACCTGTATAGGAGATGTCATTAAATTTAAGGCTATTAGATCATTACACTGATAACTCCCCCTTCAATTACCCATAATGTACAAGCTTGTCTGTTCACAGGGCTCTATATGACAAAACCAGAAGACAAATGAAATTTAAACAGCTCTGTAACAGGGAAAACCCAGCCCTCCTTGGATTCATCTAACTTCAGCTAGGGCTGAAAGGTATTGTGTGGCAATTGTTCAGAGCTGCGTTCTCTACGGCTCATCACACATCTTGTACTCTACTGCCTCTTCAAAAACTCACAAAAACATCCTGTCTTCCTCCTCCAAAACCACAGACATATCTTGTTTTGACATTATGTCTGGCCTGCAACATCTCATAGCAGACCATCAAGCTGTCCTGTTCAAGTATGCCTGAAGGCTGAGTCCAACCCAACTGGATCTCCATTAGAGAGAGAGAGTAAGAAGTAATTCCATCATTTTGCCTTTTTGAGAGGTGTCTGTGTACATGCAAGTGATCAATATAAACCAAACTAGCTACCTTCCTAGCTTCTCAGTTTCTTATTTAGCATTCATTCAACACCTACTTCCACAGGATCTTGGTATGCAACAAAGGCAGGCAGGTGTTATGAAAGTTCAGCAGCTATATAAATTTAAAACTTGTTATGAATAGCTTATTCAGCATTATTGCCATCACCTTAACCCAAAAAAGACAAAAGGAAACAAAACCAAAGCAAGATCTGAGATTAGAGCCCTGGTGTAAAGAACATTACAAACAACTTAGCAGCAATAACACTGGAGACTTGAGCTCCCTGAATTGCTTTGTTTCTCAATTTTCTTCTGAGGCTGCAGAGTTACAGACATAGTCTGAATCTAAAAATCTGTCTGAATACTCACAGTGATAAATATAGGCAGAATTATTATATTACTATGCAGTGCAAATCCAACTCACTGTAAGGACCATAATTCAGCCATGGAAATCTGGAACTTGCTGTCAGCTTATTCAAGATCAAACTGAATTCATTGGCAACACTCTACACAGCAGAGCTGAGCAAACTAAGGACCAGGCAAGAAAAGACAGAGGAAAACCACAAGATGGGAGATCCTCAGTCTCCCACTTTTCATGCATCCAGTTTGAACAGCAGCGCTACATAACAATGATGGGAAATTGGTAATCAAAACCTTTTATTTAAACATACCAGGTATCTTTCCTCCTGCTTCATGTTGGGGGTACGGATCATGTGATTCTGTTCTCCTCTCCAGTCTCCGAAACGTCGAAAAAAATAATTGGATAGGAATCGGTTGACAGGATCCCTAATAATATTGATGTACACAGGCTGGTCTCCTCCAAACCTGGTGGGAAGAAAAATGGATGAATCTCATCACAGGCTCCACACAAACATGTATCTATTATCTCTCATTTGAATGCTTTCAAATTACTTCCTACAGAAATTCAGAGCTTTTACAAGGTGAGGAGTGAATCTGAGCATCTTACAACTAGTTTCTAAATCTTTGTAAAAGCATGTAAGATCTCTTTAGGGGTGAACAGTAAATATGGAATCACATTAAGCTATATGTGTACTGCAAACATTTTAGTTGAAAACCACTGTACAACACTGTATCAACAGTTTTGCTTTCTTGAGTTCTCTCCTTGCTGTTTTCAGATTAAGAACCTTCTGCAGATGAATCAAAGAATGAGTATTTCTTCTTCTCAACATACTTCTTATCTGGGTGGTCATGTCAGAACAGGCACCACCCAACAGTAGCTGCTGTAAGGCAGCCTTGGATCATCTTTGTCTGTACAGTAAGTGTAGTAACGTGCAAAGGATTTTCAGCTTCCTTTGAAAGCTTTTTTCCAAAAGCTTCCTCTGGATGAACTGACAGATATGCATGGTATTTCCATCTTTTTATTTGCTGGAACTTGTGCAGAACCTTGTCCCCTCACCCCCAGTCTGCACCACTGGCTGGATTTGAGGTTATTTCATGGTTATGCAATACCTTATCCCTGTACTGTGCTTCATGAATTTTTTTTTTTAAAGTCTGTATGAAAATTCTTGCTTCAAAAAAGAAATTAAATATCAATCTCAAGAACATGCAAGTCCAAGGAAAAGGAAAGGGTAACAACAGCTGTGACCAGGCTTGCACATAAACAAAATCTAGCATTGCTATCTGCAACTTAGAGATGAGAAGATAAACCAGAACAACTTTACCCTCCTGTATGTCTCCTCCTGGTGCTAAGTGTAAGCACCTCCTGGTGCTAACATCTTCAGTTCAATAGCTGGGATATCAAAAGAGGAAAGGAGGAAAAAGAAGCTTGGGAAGGTTTGTGATTACACTGTATTTTCAGAATGTTAAAACACTGACTGCATATTTTATATCAACACACAGCATCAGGAAAGCAGGCCTAACTGGAAAAAAGAAAAAGGAGGGGAAGCTGCTTACACTGTTCCATGGTCAAAATGAAAAAATGGACATTCATGGAACTGACTTATGGACTACAAATTCTCTGAGACAAAGAATAAAATAAAACCTTTCAGGACTTAAAAGTTTATAGGATAAATTCAACTTGGAATTTTCCTCATCTAAGAACACAGATTGTGCTTCTCTCCTCTGTTTCCCCAATTTAGGTGAACAATTCTCACTTAAGCAATAGCTTATACTTTATTTTTGTAAGATTGAGAACATAGCCATATTTAAGTATTTAAATGCTATTCTGATGATTTTCTGAGTCACAATTTATATAATTTCTTCTAAACTGTAAAATACTAGATTAAAGAGATAACTGAAGACACCCTTAAGATTAAAAAAAAAAAACCCCTCTCAGTTTCTCCCCATCTTTTGAGGCAATGAATGATTGAATTTGTATAATAAAAGACCAAGGCTTCCCATTAATATTTAAGAGGCAGCAAAATTGTTTAAAATTATGAATTCTAGTAAAAGACAAGAGTAAAATCTTATAGAGTTTAAACCTGATTTTTCTCCTGCATGATTCCCCAGACTCCTAAACACAGTCTACAAAGGCTTGTCTCATGAGTAACTACGCCTATCAGTAATCTCATTGACCTCAGTGTTGCAGGATCACTGCCATAATTTGAAATTGCACAGACAGCATACAATTTTAAAACAATCCAATTAAAAAAGCATATGCTCCTTGCTTCCTGATTAGTGCACAACCCAGTTTGGACATGGATGTGCAAGTTAAATATCCTGAATTTAGTACCCTGACTTCTTCTCTAAGCTTATCTTTGCTGCTTTTTATCTTTAAACAGAAATAAAACCTGTATTTGAAAAAAAAAAAAAAAACAAAGGCATTCCTGCAAATACCACAGGGCAATGTGGGCATAAAGTTTTGACAATATTTACTCAAATAGAAAGCTCTGAGTGGATGCCTTGGCCTGGTAGTTTTGAAAACTAGACTTTTCAAGTCAAATTGCTGGAAAGAATGGATTGCATCTAAATTACTGAACATATTATCCTACTGCTGCTTGATGCAGATAGCAATAATCAAAAGACAGAGGTGAGTGGAGGAGAGCAAAGAAAAGGGGAAGCAGTAGAGAGTAAGAAGTGATGTCAGCAGCAAGCTGTCTTAAGACAAAAAGATCACAACATTTATAGAAGCAAGAGAGCAGGGATGTCCTGCCCCAGGTTCCATAGAGGTTGTTAAAAAACCTAAATGCTCATCAGAAGAGCAAAAAATGAAAATCAGACAGCTAATAGCTGTCTTGATAGACATTTTCAATTCATTTTGTCTTTTCTGAAGGAAAAGGAGGGGTGAGATTGCATAACCAACCCACCATATTCCCAGAGCCCACCCTTTTGCTGGTAAAGTCACATTTCTGAATATGAGAACAGTAAATTCAGGACCAAAAGCCCTGAGAAAAGAGGCTCACAGAAGCTCAATCACCCCAAGAGGACAGCTGAGATGGGAGGTCACTCTTTCACAAATGCTACAGAAGAATTTCCATTTCTGAAATGCAGATTGGGGAGGTGGGGAACATGCACAAACACAGGACAGCTCAAATTTCCGATTTTCTGCACAATGTAACCAGCTGCTATACACCCAGCTGTGGGTTGCTCCACCAGGCAACAAGCAAGGAATTATTATAGAATTATTATCAAGTCTGTTCTGGTCCTTATTCAAATGTGCTTTTCTTTTTAAACATAGTTTATAGTACTTCAAATTCCAACCATTTGTTTCTATGAACTGTACTCAGAGTCATTTATGGAAGCTAAGCAGCACTCACAGAGCATAAAAAATTCTAACGGCTAAAAAAAAATAAAAATCAAGTACCTTAAGCTATTTAAAGAAGAAAAGGGCAAATCAATGCTCCATTTGTTCAAGTATGTTCTGCATATTTTTAGATACCTATCAATCACAACATATTAAATGCTCTCTCAAGTGAAACTTTTCAGATTAACAACACCCACATGAAAGTGCTCTTGCAAAAAAATAGATCCGTGCTCTCATTATACCTCACATCACCTTATTTGCACTCAAACCCCTATTGTGAAGGATTCAAAATGGGACATGATCATATTTGCTAGGCTTAAGCAGCAGACTTACCTTCCCTGAATGGGATCATGATTGGATCCCACATGATGAAGTTGCACAAATATTCTCATCTCCAGCAGCACATTGGCATGACTGGGAAGAGTGGGTGAGGACACCACCACTCCTCCAGAGCACTGCAAATGGATAATACACCAACCCCCACAACATTCTCCCTGTATTCAATGTCTCCTGATTTATTTTATTTGTACTAGTAAATCCCATTTGTTTTAACTGATCTGTTGTTGAAGGTGTATTTTTGGAGTCCTCATCAAAAAAACTATTTGCAAGCTTCAATCAATGATATTTAGCTTCATTAATAATATATTACCCTATGTCTTTTTTAATGAAAGCAAAATTAAAAAAAAAGTCTGAGAAGCATGTGAGCTTGCCCCTTCACATTTCTGATGAATTCCAGTTGTATTATTTACACGATGAAAATTTTCATTTAAAACTATTTACAAACCCCTTGCAAGCTGGGGGGAAAAAAATCAACAAAGTTATTTTCTTGGCCTTAAAATGGAAGCTCTCTTAGCTCCTATTATTTTTCATTTCACTTCAGGAGGCTGCTGACTTTGCATTTCATACAGAACTCTTCACACAAGCAGAAGATGGTTACTTCATCCTTGCAGGCAAATCACAACTCCTCAAGGAAAAGATGACTCCCACCCTATTCTCTGGAAGAACGTTGTCTGCCTCTTACTCTTTCAACACACACTGTTTCCCCTTAAAGAAAAAGGGTGGTTGCTAGAAATTCAGTATAATGAAAGCAAACAAGAACCAAAAGCCACATAAAATTAATAGCAACAAGCATATTGTGTCCTTGTTATAAAGGAAGCACAATTTCCTTTTCCAGTGCCATACAAGTAAGAATCACACGCTGAGAGTACAATTGCCCAGCCATCTTTACTCAGCAATTATGCTAGAGCTCCATTACCTGCCCTGCAGCAGAGCTTCACAGGGAGGTCATGTAAAAGCACTAACATAGAACCTTCACCTTTTTAGGACTTAAATAATATGCACAGTTACCCCAGTGTTTATCTTCTGAAAAAGTTACTTTGAAATACTAGTTTTCATAACATCTTGCATCAGCACGAACTTGTAGCAAAGCAATTCTCTGCACACAAAGCACCAGGCACTTCTGGGATGCTCCAGTGGTCCTCCTAAGGGATGAGATGCAAAGAGGAATGGGCTGAGGTACTGCCAGCCTCCACAATCAAGAGTTTATCTTCCTGCTCTTGTCTGTAGTGCCTTTCTTGCAGCCTTCACCTTGATGCTGTGGTCATGCTCTCAACCTTTTCTTTAGAACTGGTGGAGTTTATATAGGGCACTTCTCTACTGATGCACCGATGTCACCTACACGGTTATTTCAGTCATAACAGTACTGGCTGGCATAGCTGAACTGGTACAAGGACTAGCTGGAGCAGACTTCAGGTAAAAACTTGGGCTTCATGAGGTCTTTTTCCTTTCTTGCAGAGTACTAACTAGGCTACCTCTCCCCAGCAAGCTGAACTTAATGTTATGCCAGTCTGCTTTTATGTTATCGCTCTCTAATTTATCCCAGACACAAAACAAGCAATGCAGACAGGTGATGTAATTATCATCCTTGGAAGCATTCAAAAAACATGAAGGTGCAGCACTTAGGGACGTGGCTTAGTGGTGGACTTGGCAATGTAGTTAACAGTTGGACTTGATGACCTTAGCAGTCTTTTCCAACCTTAACAAATCCATGATTCTATGAAACAAGTATTTTCATTTCAAAATTTTATCTTTGACTGGCCTGCCCTTCAATGAGAGGTGTGTG